TTTGGTTATTATATTAATATATTTTATTATTATATATATATATATATATATATATATATAATATTAACTATAATATAATATGATATACAATGCAATATAATGCATATTATTAGTTATATAGATCTAACTGAATGTCAGTATATGTGGCCATACTGTACACAAGCTGTATATCATACTGGTATGCCTACGATTGTAAATATAACTATAATAAATGGTTTGGGAGTATCTGGACATGTAACAGAATTTATATGGCATCCGTATACTGGCAATGGTAATGGTGAACGAATTGATGTATCAGTAACTCATAGTGATGTTCTTTGGCCATGGTCTGGATGGTTAGCAGTTGCTATAACAGTTCCAACATCTGCCCGTAGTTGGCAAGGCATAGCACAAGGTTTAATTTACTTTATTTGTTTACTTTATTTATATTTCTATTATATTAGAAAATATATTTTAAAATAAAATTCAATGTTATATATAGGTCATATATCTGTTACAATTGAATCACCACCAAGTGATGGAGAAGAAAAACTAAGACAGTCTAAAATAGAATTACCTTTGAAAGCAAAAGTTATTCCTACACCTCCACGTCAGTGAGTAGAAATATAAAATTATATAAAATTCTATAAAACTCCATGATATAATACTGAATAATATTTTCTTAATAGTAAACGTATTCTATGGGATCAATTTCATAATTTACGTTATCCTCCGGGTTATTTTCCACGAGACGATTTACGTGCAAAAAATGATCCACTTGATTGGAATGGTGATCATATTCATACAAACTTTAAAGATATGTATCAACATTTACGTAATGCTGGTTATTATCTAGAGGTACTTGGTGCTCCATTCACATGTTTTAATGCCAAAAATTATGGTACCTTACTTATTGTTGATAGTGAAGAAGAATTTTTCCCTGAAGAGGTAATTATATAATAAAAATAATATCAATAATAATAATAATTATATAATAAAAATAAATGTTATAGTGAACTATTTTTCAGGTAGCTAAATTAAGGAGAGATGTAGAAGAAGAAGGTCTCTCTGTAGTCATATTTGCAGACTGGTATAATGTCACTGTTATGAGAAAAGTTAAATTTTATGATGAAAATACTCGACAGTGGTGGATACCAGATACAGGAGGTGCAAATATACCAGCTTTAAACGATTTATTATATTCTAATTGGGGGATTGCATTTAGCGATCAAGTACGTAATGGCCAATTTACTCTTGGCCAACATCCACCTGTAATTTTTGCTTCTGGTACTACAATTACTCGGTATATAATTTAAAATATAATATATAGTATAAAATACATATCATAATTATTTAATTCTTTTTTTTATTAAAAATATATTTTTTATCAAGATTTCCGAAGGATGGAGTTATTCTTTATGCAGAATTACATGATCAAGGACAAGAGCTTTTACTTGAATCAGAATCAAAATCTACAATGGCAGTGCCAATTCTTGGACTTCTTCAAACTAATAATCATATGAATATGAAGGAAATATATAATGATAATTATAGTAACAATATGATATCGGAAAAAGAAAATATGGAAAAAAGTAATATGAAAGATCAAGTTAATATTGTACCAGGTAGAATTGTAGTATATGGAGATTCAAATTGTATTGATGACAGTCATTTACAAAAACGTATGTTTTTTTTTTTTATAAAATCTTGAATTTATATAATAATTGTATTAGTTCTATTTTTCAATGTAAATAATAAAATTTTATTTTTTAGCTTGTTTTTGGATGCTTGATGCTATATTGGAATATACAACAACGGGACATATCGCAACTGTTTTTACAGATGAAAGCCAAACTAAGACAAAAGTTCTTGAAAAATCTAGTATTTTAGACAGTAATGAATTACCTCAACGTATGGAAGGAAGTTATTTAAAACGTCATAGTAAAGTGTTACTGTCTGAAAGTACTAATGCTGGTCATATTAGACCACTACCATCATGTCCTATTATTATTCCTGTTACTCCAAAACCTTTAAATGAATCTGTGCCTATGTAAGTTATTAATAAATTTTATTAAATATTATTCAACAATAAAATATTATCTATAATTTTAATTTCTATTCCAGAAATCTCTATAAACCTCAAAAATTATTGTCTATTGGAGATACAATAATTGCAATAAATCCAGTTCTACAAGATTCAAGTCCATTATGGCTTAGAAGACGCGTTGGTGGTGCAAATATTCCTACATTACATCATGCAGAACAAAATAATATTGATGAATTAAAACAAAATGATCAAGATAACAGTGTAACATTTACACGTAAGTGGAATTACATGGCAGGAATAATAATTATAGGAAGTATTTTTTTCTATTTATTAAATCGGTGGAATTGTTTAATAACAAAACGGCATTCTCGAAGAAAACGAACAGTCGGTAGATTACGCAGAGTTATTCAAACAATTTCTCTACGCAGAGTGCCTCAAATGTGACTGTATTTGACAAATCTATAATTAATACAAGATAATATTCAATTATCTGTCGTAAACGCTTAAAAAAATATAACAAACTATATTATGTGCCTTTAAATATATAATATTCAATATAAATTTAAAAATTATAGAAATTATTTTGATAAATTTTATGTTGTTGATTAATTTCAAATAACACAAATTTTTGTTAATATATAAATGCAAAATGCAATATTACTTATTATTACTTTTATTAATTATATAAATGAAAAATAAATTACGATTAAAATACAAACTTATTACAAATAAAAATATATGTGTAATAAAATATATTAGTAAAATATACAAAACAGATATAAATTTGCACTATAAATTAAGGAAATATTATTTTAGATTCAATATTGATAATATTTTATACACGTATTTTTTCAAATATTTTAATATTTTAATTAATAGAACATTCATTTACTTTAGGTAACAAATATATATACAAAAAGTATCAATTTATCAACTTATTATTAATTTATAATTGTAATAATTATTAGATTTTTGTAATGATATCATTATCCATTTTTGTTACAAACAAGTAGTGATATAATATTATTAGTCTAATAATATTACTACTTTGTAATATAGATTACAAAAAAATCCATACAAATAAAGCTGTTTTTTATACGTATATAAAACTATTTATTTAATGATATGAAAACATTTATGTGTACAGATATTTATTATTATTTTTACATATAATATTTTCTGTATGCATAATATTAATTATTTTTAGAATATTCATTATAATATTTGAAATATTTTAATTATAAAATGGGTTATATGTAATCCAATGTGCTCTATCTTGCTCTGCTGCAGATTTGTGAGTAGTAAAAATGCTTTTGAAAACTTCTGATGCTTTAGGATCTTTAGCAACACTATAATTTTCTTTAACTTTTTTATATGCTGGATCTTCAGCTTCTGTTCTATTAGTAATCTTAGAAATAGAACTTTTATCTTCTTTTTTAATTTTTTTCTTTGGTGTTTCTTCTTGTTTAATATCTTGTATTTGATTATCTTCATTATATTTCTGTTTCTTAGATTTTTTCTTAGCTATTTTTCGTAGTATCATATTTTCTTCCATCAACTTAAGATCATTACCTTCTGCATTTATGATAACAATATCTTCTTCAGTAAAAGATTGTTGGCATTGATGACATATCTAAAAAACATGATATAAAATATAATATAAAAATCACTGCTAGATATTTTTTATTGCTTATATATTTCTTAGATATTTTTATTCTTTTAATTCTTTTAATGATTGCTTACCTTACTTTTGACTTCTTTAAGTGCTCTTTCACTCATTACACAACCACATGACCATAAAAAGCAAAATTTGTATTTACCATTCATTTCTAGTCCAATAAGTGGACAAATATATGGACTTTTTCCTTCATCTGCATAACAATCTCCTTTTTTTGCTTTATTACCATCAAAAGCTGGATTCGGTGTCAAATTTAAGTTTTTTATATCTTTTAAGGTTTTAATATGTTGTGCTGATTCTGGAAGTGTACTTCGATCAAGGAGACCTTCTAATACAGATTCTTTACTATAAAGATGACCTAAACCACAACCAACTACTGGTGGTTGTAATGGTAATTGTTTAATTGTACAATGTCTCCATTTAAATGCTAATTCTGCTTCCTTATCTTTCTACAAATAATTGTAATATTATTAGTATATTTATATAAAAAGATCAACATTTATAAATAATATATAAAAATATCTAAATACATAATCTAAATAGAAAATAACCTGTTCTGGTTTTTTCTTAACTCTTACGAGTTCATCTCTTCGAGGAATAGTTCCACCATCACAACCCATGATATATTATAAAATGAAAAATTAACAATTTATTCAAGTTTAACAAAATGTATGTTAAATATTATAGATTATACAGAATATAATATTAATAACAATAAATATACGTAATATAATTCAATGCTGCCAACTTATTGTACATGATGAATATAATTTTATAATAATTTTATTAAACTTTGAAAAAAACAAATTTTTAATATTTAATTTTTATTATATATAATCCATATAAAAAGATATTTAAAAAAAAGAATTTAACGTAAACTTAATATCTTAATTAAAATTTATATATAAAACATTTGAATTAATTTCAGTATTGGTAACAATTACAATCTTGTGAACGGTTCCAAATCAGCTGATGATATTCTCTTTTGGTTTTTAATTTAGTTGCCGGGTGGGTCGTAAGGCAGCAGCACACAATTGTCATCACGTGAGGTCACAATGGTTTCTGATGGTTTCGACGACTAGTGATTAGAACAGCGAATGTTTTGGATTTCCTGAGAAATTCAAGCATCTGCCGTGTTCTGCAAATAAAAATATAATTCGAAATATTTAGTAAGTAAAACTATTTATTTTTTATTAAAATATATTAATAATGGATAAATTATGATTATATGGAAAATTAGAAAATACTTTTAACCCATGTTTTAATGATTAAAAAAAAATTAAAAATTATTGTAGAAATGATCATAATATTTGTTTTTATATCATTTAACATAATATATTATATATTTGTTATATTGATTGATATTAAATAAAATTTTCTTCAAATTCGTTCGAAATTTAATATATGACGTATTTTTTATGAAAATGTTAAGTTTTATTATATTATCGATTTTATAATGGTTTATTATTGGGCGCCATTAAATTATTTCAATAATAAGTTCATACTAAAAGACTTGTGTGCCTATCAATTCAAGGATATCTCTTTTAGCCTATAATTTCGTGCACGCTTGTCATTTCCCTATATTGATCGTTCTACAAGATCAACGCGCCATTCTTGCACTTAAGTAGTATATGTCACGTGGAAAGCGCGCTTAATTACATAATACCACAATTAAAAAAATACATTGTGCCACACCCCCTTTTTTTTTTATAACTTTTTAAAACTTTGTGCATTATTTTCAAATTAAAAAAATTCTAAATTATGAATTATAATTTATTATATACATGAGCAACTAATGAATATATGAATAATAATATATAAATAAAGCTCTTAGGATTATAGAATTATATATTAATTCTATAAATTAGCTATGTTTAAAAGTAAAGCAGGTGGTTGTTTTGATAAGACTATTTATTTTCTATAAATTGATTTTCAATTCAAAAATTTATTAATTTAAAATAAACAAAATTATTATAGTATTAATAATAAGAATATAAATATGTCATTTATGATTTTAATTTAGGTCATATAGATTTTATATATTTCTGCAAAAATAAAAATAGATAGATGAATTATTTTATATATCAATATTTATATATAGTTTAATTATAAATATATAAATATGATTAAGTTACATAAAAAATTTAATATAATTTATTATAGAAAATATAAATAAATAGATATATATTATAAATTGTAAAATATTGAAGTTTATATAATACATTAAAATATATAATATAATTTATTTATTATAATGTTTCAGATAAATTAAGCAATTTTCATTGGAATATTATTCAAAATGACAGAATATTGGTTAATATCTGCACCAGGAGATAAAACATGTCAACAAACATGGGAAACCATGAACAATTTAACATCAAAACAACATTCTTTATCAGTTAACTATAAATTTCACATCCCAGATTTAAAGGTGGGAACATTGGATCAATTAGTTGGTTTATCAGATGATCTAGGAAAATTAGATGCCTATGTTGAACAAATAACACGCAAAGTAGCAACATATTTGGGAGAAGTTTTAGAAGATCAAAGAGACAAACTTCATGAAAATCTTTTGGCTAACAATAGTGAGTAAAAATATTGATGTGTTTATGTTTAGAATTTGCTCTTTGATTTAAATTTGCATCTATTCTCTAATATGAGAGAATAGATCATTGAAAAATTCAGAGATTCAAAATTATTTATTATTTTTTTACCAAATATTATATTTCATTAAATAAAATGTTCAAATATTAAGAACATATTAAAATATCATTTGGCAATATTATATTTTTTGGATCTCTGCAGACAGGTATCGATCGATTTTTTGTGTATAATATTTTACAATAAAATAATATTGGTTGGCAAAAACATCAATGAATACTATACACAACACGAAACATGCACACAACTTAGAATTTTTCTTTAATGATGATCTTAAACATGTATCAGTTGATTTCTAAAAATTTTAATTATTCATTGATAATAATAATAATAATAGCACGATTAGAGTTTTTAATCCTTATTGTCCTCAGTATCCTACTTTAATAGATTAATAGATAAAAACAAAATTTTGTCTGTGTACGCTATTAATAAAATAACAACAATATTATTTTTTTACAAATTGTTATAATAAACATGTTTTTTTATTGAGGATAATATGCAGGCAAGATACTTGTGGCTATAGCACATAGTATAATATAACATTTTTAGATATGATGTGTACCATACATTTTTTTTATTAAATATAATTTTAATATTTGGTTAAATTAGTCTATAATATAAAAGATTTTTATATAATTTTTTATAACAAAATATTCATTTAAATATTAAATGTTTTAAATATGTTAAACAAATAATCAAGTAATTTGTACAATTATCCTTAAAAGAAAAACATTAAAAATTATATGTATTTATTTTCATGAATAATAATTTATGTAATCTATTATAATCAAAGTTACAATTTTATTTAAATATATTAAATCAATGTTTCTTTTTTAAATATTATTTCTTTTTTTATTTTTTAATTATTTATTATTTTTTCTAATTCTTTTTTATTGTATTTAAAAATTAAGAATTTTATTTAATGTACAAGATATGATGGTACACATCATATTTTGGCATATAATTTATATATCTGTAGAATGCTTATTACTATAATTGGATTAGAGTTCATTTAATTTATTACTTACTACAAATAATTTCTCATATTTGTGGTGTTGCTTGGCTTGCTTTATTTAATTTGGACCACATTAACCCTATTTCCCTACCTTATTATTTTATTAACAAATGCTCATACATGTGCACCATCAAAAATGTATAAAGCCTCTAAAATTTTAATACACAAACATGCAGTATCATCATATATTGAAATATAGTAAAAAAATTTCAAATGTAGAGATTTAAATATATGGACCACACTTTGTTAAAAATTTGCAAAGGACGCAAGGAGTTGCTTGGGTTACTGTGGTCACCAAGCTCCAATTAGTTATTACAAGGATTCTTTCTTTTTTTTTCTTCAGTTATTTTATTATTTCTTGCAATATTTCTTAAATTGCATTATTAATCATTTGTAATTTAAATTTATATCATTGCATATCATTTGCTCATACTATTTTTTATTTATTTTGAATTATGTATTATTTCAATTTTATTTTTGTTTTTTTCTTTCTTTCATTTCTTTATTGCTTTTGCTACATCGGAGTATTTAACGAAAAATTTATTTAAAAGTTCAGGTAAAATAAATATTTGTAAAGTGCAATTTTTAATAATGAGGAAAAAATAAAAATAAATAGCAAATTTTTTATAAAAATATTTTAATTTTATTAATGATTAAATATTGTAATCATGAGGTGCATATCTTTTATAAAAATCATTTATATCTTTTTCAGCATTAAACTTTATATTTCAAAAATTTATTTCTTTAAAAAAAATGTTTGATACTTATACACTTATCAAAACTAAATAATAAAAATCATAATTTAATTATAAAAGTTATAAAAATTAATTTTCGCGATTAAATTCTTAATGAAACATAAAAGTTTCTGTGCGCTAAATACTCCGTGATTTTTTTTCTTTTTGAGTTATTTTGATTGAGTTTCGACAGCATTGTCGTTAGGCATTTGCGTAGGACGCAATAATAGTTGAACGAGACGTAAGAAAAATCGCGCGGAGATTGGGACTGGGCTGTAATGGATAGGTCAAACGTCAGTGGATGGGGAGAGCTCGAGCCCCGAAGGGGGTCCGGACACCCCGCCAAACACCCCCGTCACCCCATCACACAAGTCTTCAAAGGAGCATCACAAGCAGTGGAAGGAATCGGAGAAATGTGAACCAGAACCAGCCGCCTGTTTAGGTCAGCATCATTACCAGCGTCATCATCATCACGAACATCATCATAGTCATAAACATCACAATCATCCTTCTGATGTTGAAAAAAAATCATCACATAGTCCTCAAGGCATCTGTGATGTTAGATCATCAAATGATCCTTTATCAGCATATTCGTGCTACCATGCGCATTGGTGCGCTGCTTCTACCTCTTCTACACCTATTCCTAGTCCTACTCCTACGAGTCCGAGTCTTTCCCTTTCATCAAACTGTAGCAGTGAAGGAGAAACCAGATGGCAGTCGGCGACACATCATCGGACTACTGAGAAAGCAGATCGATCTACCTCCAATCGCAAATCGCTTGGCAATGACGACGACGAAGACGATGTGGACCAAAACAACGACCAAGACCAAGACCAAGACCATAGTGGCAATTTGCCCAATCCAGGTACCCGTCCTATCACCGCCAGGTCAACCCGTCGAACCCCTTTTTCCCAACATAGCTGCGAGACTTGTTCAACCTATTTTCCTGTGCACCTCGTGATTCGCCCGTTTAGCGACCGATTCTTGTTTTGTCTTATCTCCTTTGGAGATAGATATAGGAGAGAAAGAAGAGAGAGAGAGAAAGAGAGAGAGGTTGTCATTTTATAGTATTGAAAGTTTTAAACAATGAACTTCGCATGCAGCTTTTGCTTAAAAAAAAGAAACAAGAATAATTAAAACTCATGTAACTCAACTCATATAATTATTTCAATTCTTCTTCTAGTCACTATATAATGAAAGCGTCTTTATGATCCTAGTGCGCATTTCCTTCAGTGTCAATTTTGCACAATTTTGCACTACATATGCAATGTTTGTAATGCTAAAATATTTTATGCCAAATTTTGCCTCCAATGCAATAAATTATTTCAAGTCTTCTTAAATGTTAATGTGCTATGTCAGATAAGAAAGCATTGCTTATTATATATTTTATTTTTATTTTTTTTATCACTGTAATAAATTATCTACACTTTATTATAATTAAATTTGCATTGTTCAAAAGACACAATTTTCTTTGTATTAGTGACTATTTAAATATATTATTTGTATATATTTCAATAATTTATTAAAAAAAAAAAAAAAGACACATTATGAGTCATGACAATCTCTCTCAAATGTTTACAGCATACACCAAGTGAGACAGTACCAAAAGAAAAGAAATACTTGGCTTAGTTTACTTAGTTTGTGATTCAAAATACAAAAGCCTAGTATATCAAATATTTTATGTTGTACTGCAGTAATTCCCTCAGTGATATTACAACAATATTTAATTTCTTGTGCACGCAGGAATTAAAAAATTGGAAGATAACAGACAGCCATATTCTAGCACATTTTAATTGCAGCAAATGTGTGTACATTCTTAAAATTTATTTTTTGGGAAATGCTCTAGTTTGTTTTAAGTTCTTAGCTAGTTCTTTTTCACTCCTGCGTCCTAGTGATTATTTCACAAATTCTATACAAATTACAAAACACATTAAGAAAATATCATTTTTTTTTTAAATTCATTTGTAATAATATGGAAATATTCTATTTGATTAATATCTTTTTGGAAATCATTTGATCAATTGTTCCAGGTGCTGTGGACGAATGAATGAACATATAGTATATTACCTAATCATTATCAATTTTTTTTTCCCCCTTTCTTTCTACATTTTAAATGCTTTTTATAATTTTTTATTTCTTGTTCTTTTATACCATACTTTGTTTCAATTTTTCTGTATGACATTTTTTTTATATGTTATTTTCAAAAGATACATGTTTAAATAAATAATGAATTTATTAAAAAGTATTAATTTAGAGAGAATTTAATAAAATTAGAATATATTATTATAATAAGTTAATATAATACATATTATATCATATTATATCATATATTATATTAAACATATTGTTATTAAAATTCATTATTATGAATCATAAAAGTATGTATGGATTTAAAATTATCACAAATACAAATATAAAGTATGGTTTAAGAACATGCTTCATTTAAATAATATTAATAAATAATACTAATTTCTTTAAGTAACATCATTTTTCTATCATTTTTTTTTTCTATCTTTTTTTTCTTTTCTTTTT